GGGGGGGGGGTCAGGGCCCGCCTCCCCTCTGGGGGGAGAATATTCCCAAGGGCGGGGGCCACGGCAGAGAAGGCTCTCCTCCTGGGCCCCGCCAGTCGACATTCTCTCGCCGACGGGATCCGTAACATCCGTAAATTGACATTATTTGGAACTTGCAAAGGGGGTTAATACCAGATGTATTGTGGCCAGATCATTTCTCACTTAAACGTTCTCTCTCAAATGCCTGAAAAAGCTGAAGAGGATTTCTGGTCCTGGATTCTTGATTCTGGGCGTTGAAGTCCACCCATCTTCAAGTGGCCAAGTTTGAAAAACACTGCATTAAAGTTTCTGACTAAATTGAGAAAAATACACCACAGCCTCTAATAATTAAGACGAATGCAATTATGGAGCAACCCAATTAATTACACTTTTATTGCTAGCTCTTGGATTCGCTGCAGCAAGATATTGGAAACCCAAAACACATCTACTTCCCTTTGACTGGCAGTAGTGAAAAGTGGGGAAACAGCATTGGCTGAAAAAAAATCAATCCTGCAGCAACTCCTGAAGAATCTTCTAATTAAAGAAAGCTTTATTTACGTGTGATGTTTAGTCGCTCCAACCAAGTAATTCTTGATGAGTTACCTGGGTCTGCACAAATGTCTTCTTGGACTGAAAAACGAAAAGCAGGTCTTTAAAACTCTGGGTGGCAAAATTTGGATTACAAATTTATTTACAGCATGTGAGTCCGTGGCTATATGTATCTCTCTTACGTAGGTCTGTATAGTTTTCCTATGATTACATATTAATTGTTATAACTGTGTTATGGAAGTTTTCAAATGTGTTATTTCATTTTATTGCTGTTTTAATATCTATAAGCCCCCTACGGTCCACGGAGGATGGAGGAGGAGATGAATTGCACAAATAAATAAATACATTCCCAAAGTGCGTGGGTTTGCTATTGTTGATGCTTTGGTGTGGGCCGTGTTTGCTTTTTAATTATCCTTTGTTCTTATAATTTTTCTTCTACTTTCAGAGTTTTGTTGATCACTGTGCTATACACACACAATGACCCGAGGGGTGGATTGCCCATCTGTCAATATTATCTTTGACTGCATGCTGAGCGTTATGCTACACGTTGCAAAGAATTCTTAGACTGTTCCAGCGAGGAAATAAATGCATTTGAGAAGCGGCTGCCTAGCAAAACAGAGCAATGCAATCAGCTCTCGCAGGGCTGCGTTCATTAAATTACAAGAACGCTGCTTTGCTCCAAGGAAAAACGAGCCGTTGACTCACTCAGGAAAAAAAATACAGATCAGAAAACAAAAAAACACCCTCAGCAACTTTGCTCTGCGAATCACTTCATCCCTCCAGCGTCAATTGGATGTCAAGGACCTCGAGAGCAGAAAGTGAACATCGTCTGGGAGGAATTTGCTTTGTCAACCAGAGTGCGGATTTGTTTCAGAAGCAAACGCACTGCATTCGGCGTTTCTGGCTCTTTATGGCACCGCTTCCCCCTACTCCAGGGAAACCGGCAGCACGCCTTCTCGGTCCCCAGGAGCATCCTGGGCCAATCTCACGGTCTGGGGAACCGCAAAAGATGGAGAGTCCACCCTGGCACCCCCAGCTTCCCACTTTTTAAAAGGAATTCTTTACAGAGCCGAAAGTTTCTTGATGTATCTCGAGGTACCACCGTCACTCTCCAACAAATAAAAGGAAGCTGCAGGCTGAGCTATCATTCTCAGCTGCCCTTCCTAGCAGGGACGGTGGGAAGTGTAGTTAGTAACAGCCGAAGGGTCACATCCTGCCTCTAAACCGTGCTTGGCCTTCCCTTTTCCATCGCGGCCACCCCATTTCTGCTCCAAGGCATCTTACCCCCCTTTCCACCAGTTCCCCAATCACGGTATCTCCAGCCTCCCCTCCCTCCTTCTAGATACATGGAATCGCAATTCCCAGATTTCCCACGAAGCACAGCCTTTGCCCCCCACCCCAGCCCGCTTTGGTAACTCTCAGTTGTGGGACTGAGGATGCTCAGCACATCCCTGGGAAGTATGCGAGAGACGCGCTGCAGCAACTCCAGCATCTATTGCTCTCAACCAGCCTTCTCCAGCGCGGTAGACAGCGGAGAGCCCTCGATGGGGTTGTCCCTTCTGTAAGCTAAAAATGAAATTCTAGCACGACAAGGCTGCTGAACCTCTGCACTCCGTACACGCTTCCTTTTAGAAATGAAGCAATAGGCCATTTGGGTTGGTCTTCTTTCCCACTAACTCCAGGGAAGACCTCAGTCCGGGCTCCAAGGCAAGTCTGTTATTTTCCCTGTGATAACGAATTAATGCTGCCTACGCAGAGCTATTATGAAGTCAGCACACCAGGGTCAGCAACCTGCGGTCTAAAAGCTGGGTCTGGCCCTTGAGTTAATGCCCAGAGCCTAGCCTGTATGAAGGAGACCAATTCGGATCTCTGGCCCAAGAGATCTGCTCCCTTCCTACAGGCTCCGGGCGGGAGGAGAGCAAAGGAGAGAAGCCAGAGAGACACAGGGCCTATCCGGGGGGGAGGGGGGGGTTCCTCCAACCAATTTTGGCTCAGGCACCACCCGCAGCTTACTTCTGCTCCCCCCCAGTTGATCCCTGTAAGGCTGCCTCCCCCTCAAACCCCACTGCCCGTCCACAGGGATCAGTCCTCTGCTGGGTTGCAGAGCAGAGCAGATTCAGCCTAATAAATATTCTAGTGCCTTTGAATATCAGAGGAGACCCTTGAGGCAGAAATTGCCTGCTTTTTTCCTAATATTGAACGGGAGGAAATGATGCTCAAAGACGCAAAGCCACTGGAGGAACCAGCTTGCCCCCGCCCCCCTTCCAACTTCGAGGGCCTGGCTTTTCCCACCCCCTTGATTTTGACGCCTAAGAAGCGAAGTGAAGCGTCAAGGCTGCTGAGGCGGCGGCTGCAATCAGACTGTTCCTGGAATGAAATTTGGGTAATTGGTTTTTGCATCCCAAACACCAGAAGTAATTAGGCTTATGGGAGTGGAAAAAGGGGAAGAACTGCAACTGCAAAGGGGATGAGCTGCAGAAATCAGAGATGATGGAAACTTACTGTGACACACACACACACACACAGGTGCACGGTATATATTCTGCTTAAGCTGAGAGACTCATTGTGGGCTAAGGAGCAAATTTCCCAGGGTGGTATCTGCATGCAGGCATAATCATCTACTGCACAGAGATAAATTCAGGGTTACATACAGATTTTTACAAGCAGCCTGCCATGCAGTATACTGCTGAACCCGGGGGTGCAGTGGCAAACATGCGCTCCCATTCTGTTCTCAGAGAAGTGGCCGGTTCCCACAGCCACATTCCTGGGGCACGCCCTGAAAAGGGGAGGTGACTCAGCGTAAGCATTTGCAGACAGGCAAGCACAGGATCGCTCTGCCCAAACAAAGCAGACGTTTCTCACATTCCAGGACTGAACGTGAAGTACGTTCTCCTTGCAGGCTTCAGGCCGCCTTAGATGTCCCAGTCCTTAAGCACCATTTTCCCTTGTCCTCCGAGATGCCAAAGGGTGGCCTTGAATTTCCACTGGGAAATTCTCCTGCACAAGCCCTTCAAAGTGAGCAGGAGTTGCACCAGAACCCAGAAGCAACCAGCAGACCTTCCAAGAAACCCTGCTGCCTCTCCAAACATTACTCTTCGTATTTTATGGCAGACCCTGGGTCCAGCTTCAGCAATCTGCCTTATGAAAATGAGGTTTCTGATCAGCGTTAGATTTCCCTACAGGATCAGCGAAGAAGGTACACCCTCAATGCTGCCCACGTGAGGAAGTGAAGCCCCCTCCCCCACGGCATACCAGGCACGTGCACCTGCTTGCAACGGCTTATCTCAGGCCACCTGTCTCCCCCAAGCCAGGCTCACCCTGAGGACCTTTCCGTCTCTGTGAAAGCGGCAACAGAGCAACTCCACTACTGGGCTGCTTGCAAACGCGAGGCTGAGACCTTCCGCTCTCTGCAAGATTTGTATTTGGAAGCATGCAACCCCCAACCCAGAGGTAATATGGAGGCGTCAAGACCAAGAGCCCTTGCTGGTCTGACTTCTGATAGCCTGTTGACTGTTGCCTCACACACATAAACTATGTTCTGTATGAACTGCAGGTCCAAAGTATCTGGAGGTCACCAGGTTGACAAAGGTGTCCTACTTGTTAAGTAGAACATCGGCGTATGTTGAATGCCCTGGTGAACTGTGAATTTAATTTCATCCAAGAGAACCCATATCCTTCATTTAGAAGCGTGCATTATCCCTTATCCTTTGCCTCTCTGTCAGGGTTTCTATGCCTCTTTTGCTCTGCTCTTCAGTTTACAAAGTTTTCGGTGCCCTTCTGCAAACGCCTCTTCTCAACTAGCACTCTCACCAAGACCCTGGCATGCTCAAATTGCCAGCACAATCTCACCCATCCTGCTCCCGAACCCCCTGGATAGACCAGAGAAGACACGGTTGGAAGGAATCACACCAGCCTGGAAGAAAGTTTACGCCTGCCGCCAACGGGCACAGCCCCAGCTTATGAAAGAAAGCAGGCGAGGTGCTTGTACGGGGCTGCTAATCCAAAGAACCTCTGAAATGACGCTCCCACCAGAGTCCACATCTCCCCCGACTTCTCACTTGCGCAGATTCCAAGAGTCAAGGGCAAAAGTGAACAAAACCAGTCATTCCCTGAGCTATAAAAAGTCGCTAATTACAATGCCCAACCATCAAGGCGGGCTGCTTGCTGGGGGGGCCTGGAAGAACTTGGTGGTTGGAAGCCAAACGATTCGGGAAGGAACCCATCGTAGAGAGATCGGGATTCTGCAATCCGAAATGCTCCTGGAAGTATCTGTCTAGCAGTTAAGGCTCTGAAAACAGGCTTGAAAATGAATGGGGAGGGTTTTCAGCGTTTCAAAGAATGAATGTCCCATTCAGTCAAGGAGAAGGAGTTTGCAGGTTCTACCAACTGTCAATGGGACTGGGGTCACTTCTTATTTTTAACAGTATGTCAAGTGAAGAGTGCGCTTGGAGATTTCTTTACGCATGCCAAGGTTCAAAAATGTTTACCAGGATCAAAGCACTTTAGACTGCAAAAATTGTGTGTTTTATGCTAACAAAACCTTGAACAGAACATTGTCTCCAAATTGGTACTTCTTTACTGCATTAGTGTCCCTCGTCTTGCATCTTTCTTAGATGGCAACCCTTTGTCTGCTTATGGAGTGGATGGGGGAAGGAGGGAGGGAGGAAGATGACCCATTCTTCCAAGAGAGAAGGATCAGACCACCCAAATCTTACCTTCACTAAGAAGTCCCCCTCCTTCTCTTGGCTGACCATGACCACGGAGTCATGAAGCTTCTCATCAAAGTGAACATGGCTGGAACTTCCTTCCACAGCTGGGGTTGTGGCAAAACGGACACCCCCTACTTTGGGGTTGGTGCCTGAGGAAGCAGCAGAAGAATGAAAGAACTGGATTAGCAAATCACTGCCCAACTTCAGGAAGCACTTCAACAAGCCCACTGGTTGCATTCAGGCGTCCAGGGTTGCCCTGTGGATATAGAAGATTCAGGGCTGGCTTGGAGCACCGCTGAACTTAGGATCCACAGAATCAGAGTGGTCGGGTTCGAAGGGATCACAAGGGTCATCTAGCCCAACCTTCTGCCATGGGCAGGAAACCGATTTAAACCACCCATGAGAAGTGGCTGTCCAGCCTCTTCTTAAAAGCCTCCAGAGACGGAGAACCTACAACAACTTCCACAAATCAACAGGTGTCTACCGTTGGACAGATCTTGCCATCAGGAAGTTTTTCCATATATTTGAATGAACATGTATCTGAGACAGAAGTGCTTTTGATTGAAAAACAGAACATTTTCAAGCAAGTACACCTAGGCCACTCCACTCCAGCGTGGGAAAGAGGAACTGTGTGAATCTTCCCTCACAAGTGAGGGAAACACGATGGAAGCCTTGATCAGGCTTCTAAAAATCTGTGCCAAAATCGGATAGTTGGCAACCCTTTGCATCTGAAATCCCACCCTTCTTGCTGCTACCCCGAAATCATACTAACCTGCCAAACCAGGAATACCAGCTAAACAGGAGAAAAACATGTGCCCCCTCAACAGTTATGCTCCCCTCTGACCAAGTAACAGAAGTTACATCTTTTAGCATATTAAAATTATAAGAACATTACCCCCTGCCTCTCCAGTTGGCCCATTCAAAAAGGAAGTCCTCAAAATTCAATCCTGGTCAGAGTTGTTGGGAGTCACCATTCTTTTCTTCTAGGTCAATGGTTTTCAAACTTGGCCACTTTAAGATGGGTGGGCTCCCATCCCATGGCTGGCTGGGGAATTCTGGGAGTTGGAGCCCACCCATCTTAAAGTGGCCAAGTTTGAAAAACACTGATCTAGGTAAATCTGTTTTCCAACAATGTCTTCTGCCTCCGTTTCATTCCTGCCGTGCACAGTAGAGGTTTGCAAAATGCTTTGAATTCAAAATGCTTTGTGCTCAAAACCACCGTTTCAAGTCACCGTTTTGCACACCTCTCAGGAGCATTTCTTCCTGCCTCTGGGACTGCCCCCCTCCTCCTCTTTGATGCAGGGCCTCTGGAACCGGCTTTCACAAATCCATCTTCCCCCTGCAGCCCCCTGGGCCGCAGGAATTCAGTCAGCAAACATTGGGAGTGCGGCTGATGTAGCAGAAGTGGGCGCGTGGGTGTGCAAAACGGGGCTCGGGAACTGTGTGTGGCCTTTTGACAAGAGGTCGCAGCTCCCGAACCAGCAAAAGCAACCCAAAGGTTGGGAAGAAAATCTGGAAAGGGGTCAAGACTGTGTCATTTGCAAAAGAACTCTCCAAAAAAGGGAGCAGAACAGGACCAGATTTGGTGCGACAGGAGAGGCTGGGAAAAGTTAAATTCCAAAACGGGCAGGATCCAGCCAGGGGTTGGGGAGCAAAAAATCCCCCAAAGCCCCCCATGCATTCCAATGGGGGGGGGTTGCTGGAATGCTGCCACCTGCTCCATTCTGAGCCCCTCCCTCCTCCCTAGGTCACATGGTCCAGAACCAAGCGCGAGTCCACCCATGCATTCCAGTGGCATGCGTGCACGTGCGCGCACACACACCAAGAAACATGAAAGGAAAGCAGAAACACACGCAGACCCAAGCTACGACTTCATTACATAGAATCATATACAAATGCCTCTTATGGCCGTTGCTGGTGTAAGGAGCAAGAAGCCAGATTGAAGCTGGCTGGGGAATTCTAGGGGTTGTAGTCCACCCATTTAAAGGGGCCAAGGCTGAGAATTGCCAGGCTAGACTAATTTGTTTGCTGCGGAAGATGCATTTTATCCGTCTGTCCAGGTCGATGGAATAACAGAACATTTGGAAACTCAGATACGAGAACTATCTGCTCGGGAAGATCCACATGCAAATTCACACTCAGCGGTGGAACGGCACTCATCCCAGCCCAGCCTACCTCACAGGGTGGTTGTTGTGGGGAAGAAAATTAGGAGGAGCCCCAAACATGCCCGCTGGGTCACCCCAAGAAAAGGCAGGTGATAAAGAGAAGAAATAAATGTGGGGAGGTGGGAGCCTGTCCTGACTGCTGAGCCTCGATATCGACTAGATGGGGAGGGCTCGAGAGGGTGGACCTAGTGGACCTCTAACTTTAAAGTGGACCTTTAGTTTTAAAAGGAAGGAAGGAAGGAAGGAAGGAAGGAAGGGAGGGAGGGAGGGAGGACGGGTACCACTGGCTTCAAACCATTTCCAAGCTGCAAAATAAGACCTGGCTTTGATCAAGGCAGCCCTGCGAGATACAGGATGTGCCTCCCCGGCTGTCCATTCAGCCTGTCCCCTCCCTTACTCTTGAGAAACCAGCCAGCCCAGGCTCAGCAGCTGGGGGTTACTGCAACCATTTTTCTGAGATTTTCATAGACCAGGAAACAAACTGCACGTGGGTCATATGTGTGTGTGTGCCCCATGCCTGGCTGAGGAGGCAGCATCTCTCTGGTCTCGGCTGATTTCTTTGAACATCCATGGAAGTCTCCATGGAGCTGGTTTCCCCTCTGCAAAACATCCGTGTAGTTTTACTGGCACCAAGCACAAACGCGGCCGGCCACCGCCTCCTCTCAGACTTTTTCTGACTTCCCAGTCTGGCTTTGGCACTGGGATTTCCCAGTGGTCTCCCATCCAATTCTCAACCAGCCTCTCCTTTTCTATCAGCCAAGGTTAGCAAGGGGCTGCCCCGGGGCTCGCCTGGTCCTCCTTCAGCTCCCCGGGCATAACGAAGTCCTTCCTTCCTGGGCTTTTACACCAGCTTGTAACAGCCGGGCGTTCATTCGCACGATCCCCAGCCTGCCTGGCCAATGACAGGAAGAGCTGGGAAGGGTGGGGACCGAAGCCCCACACGCTTGGGGGGCCTCAGGCTGGGGGAGGCGGTGCTGCCTCGCCAGTACGGACTGCAAACGGAACAAAGGACTCGGCACCACGCAGAGAAAAGCGTCCATTCAAGGCATAGCCAGCATTTCTTCTTGATAAGCGGCTGAGCCGAGGAGGTCCGCGCTGAACGGCTGATCGTGTTTTTTCCCAGCCTGCCTTCCAAACAGTCCCGAGATCGCCCGTTCTTCACCCAAGGGGCCTTCTGCCCCGAATAAGCAGGGCGCCAAGCCCCGGACAGCGAGCAGCGCAGCCGTGCCGATTCAGGACTCGGCCTCTTCTGGGTCTCCTTGTGCCAGCGTGCCAAACGGGCCCGCTCCCTCTGTGTGGGCGCAGCTGGCGGGGTCCATCTCCCCCCAGCCCTTTTCTAACCTCTGCAGCTGGGACAAGTGAGCCCCCCTGCCCACCTCCTACCTCCGCCCAGGAAGGAGCAGGCTGACACGGCCCAGCTCCAACAGCAACGTCAAAGCGATTCTGCCTGCAATTTGGCCAGCTCGCTGTCTTTGGGGTTGGCCGTATTTCAATCCCCCCCACCTTGCCAGGCTCTATTGAGCGCGAGCGAGAAATAAACGGACCAATAAATTTTCCATATCGATTAAGGTTTCTCTCTTGCCTTGGGCAAAATTCACATCGCTCAATCAGGCAGGAACGTAACACACCGAGATCCCAGGATGCGTCTTTTATTTGTCTGTTGATTTATTTGCTTATTTAATTGATTTCTACAGCCGCCCTTCTCAACACGTGACTTTTCAGATGTGGGGGACAACCGATCCATCCTGTCGATGCCCCCTACCTGGAGCTCTGCAAGTGGGGGACTACAACCTCCATGACTCCCAGCCACCGTGGCCAACAGCTGGGGTGAGGAGGCTGCTTTAGAGGCCTCCAGCTGGAACACACCATGCTGGCATTTGCCAGTTCCCCAAAGAGGAATCGTTATTCTGGCACAGAGGAGCTCTTAACTTTTACCCTCTAAGCCAGGGTTCCTCAACCTTGGCCACCTTAAGACGGGTGGACTTCAACTCCCCGAATTCCCCCGCCCCCCCTCTTGGGTGGGGGATTTTTGGGGTTTAAGGCCACCCCCCCTTAGGTGGCCCAGGGTGAGGAAACCCTGCGTTGGGGGGGA